GCTGGCGGCGTAGCCGCGGTTCTTGAGCGTGCGGCGCCGCTGCTTGAGCCGCGTCACCTCCTCCGCCGAGAGGCCGCGCAGGTTCCGGTTCAGCTCGCGCACCGACAGCCCCATCAGCGCCTCGTCAGACAGGTGCGGCGTGTTCTCACTCAGCTCGCGCTTGACCTGCGGGCGCGGGGAGACTGAGGTCCGCGGCCCCCCACCGCTGCGCCCCAGTTACTACCGCCTTGGCCACTGAGGCGGCAGCTGGACCTGATCCGAGACCTTAAACCGAGAGTAGGAGTCCCAAAAGGAGTAACCAGGCCAAGCCGGGATCCGACCGCAAATGGAGGCCACACCAGGGCTCGGCTGAAACCTAACCAGGCATCAAGTCCTCGGCTCAGCCAGAGGAACCCAGCCTGGAAAGCACCTTAGAACAGGGAAGCAGGCCCAGAGCGGGAAGTGACCTGTCCCGGTGCCACCGCAAACTCCTGCGGCCGCCTACTACCCCTGGAGATTCTGGGAAGGGAAAGGGAAGTTGGGATGTGGAAGCTGTGCATGGGCAGGGAGAGGGCATGAGCTGACTCCTCACCTTCAGGGCTTTGCTGGACAAGGGATCCACAGACATGTCGGCAGCAGGTGCCCTCTGGGCTGGAGACCTGGGGGAGAATGGGGGTCAAGGTCACTTTTTTCCCCCTCTTAGAGTACAATCCAAATTCACTACCTTGACAGTCAAGGCTCCTACTATCTTAGAACTAATACCTACCACCTTTGACCCCACTGGTTCAGCCACAGTGACTTAAGTGGGTCATTCCATCCTCAGGGCCTTTGCACTTGCTGTTCTCTTTACTCCTCTGTCTCCCCATAGTGATTCCTTATCATCTAGGTCTTTGCCCAGTGCCACCTCGTAGAGAGGTCTTCCCTGACCATCCTGGCTAAGACACCCTTGTGTCACATCATTAACCTCATTTATGAGTCCTCCTAACAGTCACCTCTTCTGCAGTTTTTTTTGTTTGTTTGTTTGTTTGTTTTTTTTTTGAGAAAGTGTCTCAGTACACTGCCCAGGCTGGCCTTGAGCCATGATCCTCTCATTTCAGCCCCTGGAGAAGCTGGGATTATAGGTACAGGTCACTGTGTCTGGCTTGTCTGGTTCCCATCCTGGTTTATGATCCCTCCCACCCTCCTCTACCAAAATATAAGCCCACGCGGGCACTGCCTGTCTGACTACTGCCTCAATGCCAAAGTCAGTGCTCGGTACATAGCAGGTGCTCAATAAAGATGCACTAAAGAAGTGGCCACCACCAGCCATTCCTCCACATGAGGCTACATACACTTATTTAATTTACTATTATTATTATTTTGAAACAATATCTCACTGTGTAGCCCAGGCTGGCCTCAAACTCAGTGATCCTCCTGCTTCGGCCTCTTGAATGCTGGGATGACAGGTGTGCACCACCACACCTTGCTGAACTCTGCACTATCTTCAGTACTGGGGAGCCAGAGGTGGAGTAAAAACTCACAGAAGGACAGCCTATGGGCTAGCAGTCGTTGCTGTGGGCTGGAGAAGGAGACCATCTCCCAGCCCCTTTGAAGCAGTGAGGCTTTCTGTCCCCAGCTGATCTGATCTCATCACCCCTTCAGTGTGAACCTCAGTGTCCTCATCTGCCAGTTTCCCTGGGGAGGGAACATGGGAAGGAGCAAAGGAGACCATGAAGGAAGTTATTCTGTGAACTGAGGTGTGTGTATTATCATTAGCAATGCCCAGACTGCTACAGAGGAGGGGGCAAAAACCGGTCCAGCCAGACAGGGTGGTGTGTGCTTTTCCCAGTGGCTCTGGAGCTGAGGCAGGAGGATCACACGTTGGGGCCCAGCCCGGGCAACCTGGCAAGACCTTATTTCAAAATAACTAAAAGGGCTGGGGATGTAGCTCAGTGCAAAGGCCCTGGGTTGCATCACCAGTAGCACAAGAATGAACGTAAAAAACTGGACCTACATCTGTAATACCAATAGCTCAGGAGGCTGAGGCAGGAGAATTATAAATTCTGGGCTACCATAGCAAGGCCACCTAAAAAAAAAAAAAAAAGCCAGACCCAGGCCCTGGCTCCTTGAGCTGCCTGTGGGGCCAATGTGGTGTAAGCCCAGCCTCCAACACATTGGGAAGACGCAGGTGACTCCTGGGGACACAGCGGGAGTGAAAGATCCTGCCCCTCCCCCAGGACCCTTCCTTGGCTCCCATCTCACTGGAAGCAAAGCCAGGTCACCACAGAGGCCTCAGGTGCTGGTGACAGGGCCCCTGCATTCACTCCCTTCCCTCAGCTCCTGCTCAGCCCTGTGGCCTCCTGCTGTACCCAGACACACCCCCAGGGCCCTGGCACCAGCTGCTCCCTCCACCTGGCAGTCTTGTTCCCTAGTCAGCCCCCGAGTCAGCTTCATCTTCCTTCAGGTCTCTTTCAGTCGCGTGTTCAGCCAGGCCTGTTGGCGAACACCTGTAATTCTAGCCCTGGGTAGGCTGAGGAAGGGTTGCTTTGAATCCGAGATCAGCCTGGCTACACAGTGAGCTCAAGGCCAGCCTGAACTATATAGTGAGACCTTGTCTCCAAACAAAACAAAACCGCCTCGCTCATCCAGTTTGGAATTCCTGCCCTGACAGAAACACACGCACACACACTCCCTTCCCGGCCTCTTTCTCCACTACACTTTCCACTGTTAGACTCACTGCTCTGCCTCCCCCTGTGAGAGGTCTTGTGTCCCCAGGGCAGAGGTCTTGTCCCGTGCACAGAGCCTAAACCTGGCCGGGCAACAGTACATGCCGTGTTTGCTGCGCTCTCAGCATGACTCAGGCTGGGGTAGGGACAGTCCAGCCTTCCTGGGAACCCCCAGCCCCTGCAGGCCCACGCAGTCAGGGGTCTGGCCCAGAGGGAAGGAAGGAGTGGGACAGAAAAGGGAAGTTGACAATTCAAGAGATTCCCGGGCCTAGGCAGCTGCTGTGGCCCTGGGGCTGAGAGTCTTAAGAGCTTCCAGGCTTCTTTTTTGAGGGGAGGGAGAGGGGTTGAGGCAGGGTCTCTCCGTGTAGTTCAGGCTGGCCTTGAACTCACAGCTGGGATTACAGGTGTGTGTCGCCACTCCCAGCAGCCACCAGGCTTCGGTGGTATAGCTGGGAGAGCTGAGACCTGAGCCTTGGGACTCAGCTTCCTGTAAATCCTGGGTGTGACCAGCAGGTAAGGCCCACTTCACAGGTGGATCCCCAAGCTGCTGAACCCACGGGCTCAGTGTGGGTCCTGGCCTCAGTTTCCCTATGCCCTGGCTGCCCCACCTACCCAGCTCTCCTTGGGGACCTCTGTGCCCCGCCCCCATCCTGCCTGGGCAAATCACACAGAACCTACCCTCACTTTCCGGATACCACTTGGAGACACTGAACTGCCATGCTCACCAACCCCTTCCTGCCGCCAGAAGGGCACACTGCCCTGCTGGCCCCAGCTTTCCCTTCCCCAGCGACTGCAGGATTTTTCCACTCTGCAAATCTGTGAACCAGACCTGCTGCCTCCCAGATCAAAGCCTTCCCTGGCTCCCACTGTCCTAAGAACAAGGCTACAAGGCTCCCCGGCCCCTAACCCACCACCCCGCCTCCTTCTGCATTCCATCGGGAAGGAATTTCTTCCACTTCCTCCTGCCCGCCCCGCACTTTCCTGCCTCTGGGCTGGGCCCCAGCCCCATGACATAATGCTTTTCTCCTTTCCCTCCCCTCCCAGGAGAGGAGCAGCTGCCTCCTGCTCATCCTGGCCTGGGCAAAGGCCTCTCCTCCAGGAAACCCGCCCTGTCCTCCCCGGGCTAAGCTGTGTAAGATTCGAGGCAGGGGCTGAGCACACTGGGTGCTGCTGGTGTGTGTAGGGTGGCGTCTCCACCTGCTCAGTGTCCGAACCCAGATCCAAGCCCAAGCCAGGCTGAAAAGGAGCCTCCTGGCCCTGTCTCCAGCTCTTCCGCCTCTCCACCTCCTTCTTGGCTTCTGCGGGAGAGATGTTGCGGACGCCAGGAGCATGGGAAGGAGAAGGGATCCCATCCGCTTGCCCAAAGGGGAATCAGAACCCTGGCTTGGGAGATGAGCCGGAGTGTGTCGCATACCCGTGTTCTCCAGGCAGTGTCGCCCTGGGTCACACTTTCCATCCACAGGGGTGGGACATCCCCACCTTGCAGGGTTTTGGCGGAATCAAGTGTATAGACTGTAGAGGGCAGTGAATATCCCGAGGTTCTAAAACTGCTGCTCTGATTCGAAGCCAGCACTGGGGCCCTGCCCTGACTCACCAACTCCGGAAGGCCCAAGAAAGGCTCTGATAGCCCATCTGGCTCCACCTTCCTTACTTAGCCCAAGAGGAGGTGGGGTCACTTGCTGGAAGTCACCCAGCAAGTAAGCAGCTGCCTCCCTGCAAATGGGGAGGACTTTGAATACCTGCAAAGCCCAAGACTGAACCCTGGACTGGGAGGCAGCTCAGAAAGGCACAGCCTGAGAGGGCAGTAGAATAGTCCAGGGTCACAGCACAGGGCAGCGCCCAGGACGAGAGCACAGAGAACCACGTGCTTCCTCCTACCCTGGCCTGCTCTCCTCCCCTGCAAAGTGGGATGAGCCTAACAGCATTCGTGGGTAAAATCCAAGCAGCTTAAGTAAGATCAGGGGCTGCCTGTGGTGGCTTATCCTGAGTCAGCCCTCTCTCTGCTCTTAGCGCTGATTCTCAGTGAGTGGCCCAGCCCCATCTTTCTCACTATGGCGCTGTTTCCCACCAACTTGGATGCAGCCTCAGAATCCTTTGGGACACAGCCTTCCAGGGTGGCCCTGGGATGAACCGGCCGACGCCCCTCTTCGGATGACGTCAGAAGCCTGCAGTGGGACTTGAGGCCAAGGAGGGCTTTGGGTGTGTGTGTGTGTGTGTGTGTGTGTTCTGGTTTTTTGAGACAAGGTCTATGTAGTCAGGGTGGCCTGGAACTTGGGGTGATCCTCCTGCCTCAGCCTCCCAAGTGCTGGGATTATAGGCATGTGCTACCACACCCAGTCCAAGGAGGATTTTGAAGCTGCTCTTCCTCTCCATGCCCTGCCCTGTCCTCAGCCCCTCAACCTCCTCCCAGCATCAACTGAGGCACCCATGTGTGCCCAGGAAAGCCTTGCTCAGCAGTCACACACAGAAGACAAGTCACAGGAGGGGGCTTTCTGTCACCCCAGGCTCTTGGCCTCCAGTCCCCTGCTGGGGATTCTGGGGTGTAAGGCAAGGTGCCTAGGGCTCCATTGCCACCAGCCTGGCAGACCCAGGGAACCCCGCCCCTCCAGGCCTCTTCTCTGCCGGGGAGCCCAGCCAAGCTGAGCTACAGGGCGGCATGGGGACTGCAATTGCTCTTGGGGAACTGGCAGCTGCCCATGAGTGGTCCCCAACCCTGTGGCCTCCCCTCACGGGCCCCCTACTGGTAGGAGCCCTTCTCTGCCTGCTGAGTTAGGCTGCTTGCTCTGTGAGGACAGAAGAAAAAAATGTGTTTTCCTGAGTTTAGGCAGCTTGCGCCGTGGAGCCTCCTCACTGCTGGATGGCAGCAAGGCAGGAAAAACCAGCAGCAACAGCCTGGGGTCCACCCCAGTTCTACCACCCACCCGCTCGCTGTGTGATTTCAGGCATGTTACTCTCCCTCTCTGAGCCTCAGTTTCCCAACATGCCAAAACTCTGCCAAGCTTAAGGTACCACCCCCAACAATGATGATCCCTGAGTCTAGTGTGGGAGATTTTGGCCTGGAAAAGACCACCAGCAGAGGGGAGGCCCTGGAGGAAGGGAAAGGAAATCGGAGCAGGCTTCCTGGAGGCGAGGGCATGAGGACTGTCATCCCTCCATAGGGCTGCTTCCTCTTCCCGCTGGACCAGGGCCACAGCACCTCCTCGCTGGCTCTGATCTCACCTGCTTCATCTCCAAACCCCAGAGGCTCTCCGAGGGCTGGTGACTGACCGGACCTACACAGCTGTTTCTGAACCTCCCCTGAAGCCCACATCCTCTCCTCTGTCAACAATGAATGAAGCGGAGGGCAGTCAATTCGCCAGTTAGTGTGCATGAAGGAGGAGATCACCTGAGCCCTGAAGGTCTGCTCGCTTTTGAGAGCCAGCTTCAAGGGACTGTGCCCTGGCTTTCTGCTTCCCTGGGCTTCCCAGGACCTTTTCTCTCAAGGACATGAAGCCAGGGTTCATTTATTCAATCAGTAAACATCCAAGAAGAGACTACAGTGTGCCAGGCTCCATGCGGGGCCTTGAAAACCCAAAGAAGAATCTCCCCGCTACCCTCAAGGGCTTCACAGATGATCACCACGCCACCAGGCCTTGCTCACTGGCCACCTCCCTAAGGGAGCCTTCGCTGATTGCACTGGCTAAGTGAGGACCCTGTTGCATACTTTTAAACCTGGGTGACTTCCCCTCACACCATGCAGCTGTGTTAGTTCGGTGGCTCTTTCTTCCAGTCCCAGAGGAGGCGAAACCTTTCAATGCTAACTTTCCATACACAGCCAAGCAGCCGCTCCCTTCATCCCCCGACCCCCGCCCTACACCAGGATGTTTCCTGCCCGGCTCAGGGGATGGGCATGCCTGGCTCCTGTACACCCCCCTGACTCAAGCCCCACACATTCTTGGTCACCCCAGCTCTTGGCCAGCTGTGGGTATTGCCTTTGCTTTTACTCCCACAATTCCTTGCAAACCAGGCTGTGTAGCAGCTGCCAGAGGTTCCCAAGTTCCACCTGCCATACTACCGTGCAGGAGATGACCTAGTTCTGACCCTTGGGTGCCCTGCTATGGTAGCAGAGATCAGCAAGGCATAAAGGGTCAAAATTATTGGACCAAAGGGCCGGGGCTTTAGCTCAGTGGTTCTGCTGCCTTCCTCACAAGCTCAAGGACAGGAGTTCGATCCCAGTACAAAAAAAAAAAAAAAAAAAAAAAATTAATTAATGGACCATTAATTCTTCACCTTAGCAAACTCAACTTCCACCCCACCCTGTGATTCTGTAACCCTGTGGACAGAACCATAGAGAAGATGGATTTGTACCACCGGATCCCACCCCAGTCTATCCTTCAGGCTGTGGAGCGGAACAGGTGCCTGGCTCAGGGCAGCTTAACTGGCTTTGGGGTCCTGCAGCCATGGATGGGTCCAGCCTAACTAGTCCCTCCTGTGGGCTGAGACTCCCACATCTCTTCACCCCATCTCTTCTCCATGACCCAGCAGGTACCTCCTGGCGACCCAAACTAGCCACAGTGGTCACCAGGGAGGAACTTGGACCTTTGCCTTGAGTTTTCTGGCCCTTTCTGGTTTCTCCTGAGATTGATAGGCTGGACAAAACCCCAAGGGTCTGCCCTCCCCAGGGAGCTTGAAAACAAGGACCTGGGCTCCAACTCACTTTGTTACCAGATCCACCGGGGTCAGGTGAAGGCTTACCTCACCCCCAGCTCAGCCGGGTGGGGACACCGGTACCTCCGCCCCACCCTGTTGCTTCAGGCGCCAACTCTGGGCGGGGGACAAACACTGGGTCACATGTTTAGGGCCCTGGGAAACTCCAGGGACAGCAGAAACCGGGCAGCCCAGGCTGGTGGGAAGGGGGCGGTCCAGGCGAGAATTTCTAGACTCCGTGTGACCACGGGCTGGGTCGCTTCCCTAGCTTGGGTCCTCATACCGCATTTACTGCGGCGGTCACCCTAGGACACGCCCTCCGCGAGGTACACACACACTCTAAGGAGAGCGCGCGACACATGCACACGCAAGGCACACATGCACAAACGCGCGCGCGCGCGCGTCCCCGCCCAGGCAGCGCTCCCAGGACGCGCGCCAGGACACACGCGCACACCCGCCGCCCGCGGACGTAAACAAACCGCGCACGGCCGCGGGCTCCTGTCCAAGGCTGTTCCCACCGAGTCACGTACGTGCACCCCCCGCCGCAGGACTGTAGCTGTGCTGCACTCGCTTCCTCCGGGTCCGCGTTCTGTCCCGCTCGTCTGGCTTCGGCCCCGTCCCAGTCCCCAGACCCCGATGCCCGCTGTGCCGGCGACGGATGCGTCCGGACAACGACGGCGCCAACCCGAACCCAATGACCCTCCTCCCGGGGTCAGGCGCTAGGTCCTCGTCCCCGACCCTCGTCCCTCACCTTCTTTCCGGGCCGCGAGGCCTGGCGCCCCTCGCACTCACGCGTCTCGGTGCGGTCCCTTCGGCTGTCCCAGCCCGTTCTCTGAGCGGTCTCCTCTCCGGTCCGAACCGCCGGTCCCTCGGATCCGAGCTCTTGGAAGCGCCGCGCCAAAGTTTTGTTGTGGAGCTGGTGGCGCAGGGGGACGGAGCAGCGCACAGTTGTAAAGCGAGCTTCCCGGAATTACTCACTCACAGGATTCCTTTCATTCATAAAAACCCAGTCATGCGCTGACGTCACCGCCGTGCCGCCCCGCCCCCGCCCAGGCCCCGCCCCCGGGGCCGTCGTTGAGTCTGAGCCTCTGGGGTTCTCAGCCTGGTTCCTGCGCGCGCTGGCGGGGTCACATGACACCTCGCGAGCGCCGCGTGGGTGGAGGTGGCCTTGGCTTCGTCTCAATGTAGGTGGTCCAGGCGTCCTCTCCGTTCGACCTACATCCTCTGCCTGGATGATCTCATCCTCCCCGTGGTTTTCAGTGCCATCTCTGAGCCTGTGAGCCAGACCCGAGTTAGTGTTTCAGAGGGAACTACGTCGCTTCGCGCCTCCACGCGGGTGTCAGGGGGGGACTGCAAACAGCCTGCCCCACCGGGCTCCGTGGGTCAAGCCTTTGTCCCTCCCTCCCGCTAGCTCCTTCTCCCATGGCCTCCTGCATGGGGCCACACCTCTTCCCCCCCAAGCTGTCCAGCTACCAGATCCAGGCCCTGTGGACTTACCTGGATGATGGCAGCGGCCAAAAAAAGGCTTTGTCATGCGCCAGCCAAAATTTATCTCAAAACAAAGATCAGATTGTTAAATCTGGCATGTATGCCTGCTAATCCCTGCCACTGGGGAGGCTGAGGCAGGAGAATCCCTTGAGCCCAGGGGTTTGAGGGCATCTTGGGCGATAGAGTCAGACTGTTTCTTAAACAAATAAATCCAGATTACTTTACAGTCTCTCTGGCTTGGCATTCTCAGTGCTTTCGCTTTGTACCACATCCCGATATAACTATATATAGTGTATAAAGTATGCTCCTCAGCTGAGCCTACAGGGCCCTGGCCATCGGGCCTCTACTCAGTCTGCAGCTCACCGGTGGCCCCGCCCCCCTCACCTTCTATTCTGCGGCAGCACTGCCCTTTCTGTCCCCGCTACACCAAGCTCATCCCTGCTGTGAGCACTTGGCATGTGCCCTCTTCTGTCCACTTGCCTGGCTCTGTCTCTTTGCAGTCAGCGCAGATGTCACCACCTGAGCTAGAACTTTCCTGACCACCATGGCCAAAGGAGTCTTTGCCTCTGACATTCTGTCACCCCTACCCGAGTCCTTATGCTGCCTTTGTATCTGCAGGGTGCTACATTAGGTATTTGTGTCTTCCCCAACGGGAACAGAAGTTTGATGAAGGCAGAACTACGTTTTGTTCACCACACCACTCCATATGCACTGCCTGAGATGATGCTTGGCACACAGTAGGACCACAATAAATGTGTGCTGTGGGGGAAAAAATATGTGGAGGTTTAGAGAGGTAAAGCAACTTTCCAGGGTCACTCAGCTATACTCCTGGTCTGATTCTGGCCCAGATTTGAGGTGTACCACAGCCTGGGGAGGAGGGTGGCATCTCTGTGAGGCTGGGGGCCCCACCCCAAAGAGGTGGCTTTAAAGGGAACATGGGGGAGGGTCGCAGTTCCTTCTCCATTCCTTGTACCCTTGCTGTCCTGGCCACCGGGGTGCCAATCCTATCATCCATTGCAGCTTCCTCTATTGCATGGGTGTGGGACCTCAGGTTGCCTCCCTTGAGGTAGTGTAATTGGATTTCAGAGCCTTTGGAGGGCCGTCTCGCCTCTGGGCCTGGTCCCCAAGACCTCCACCCCTTACCTCCCAAAGGCTTTCCGTCTCCTATGCCACTGGCTTCCTGAGTGACCAGATGTCGAGCCCACTTTCTGCAGCCCTCAGAAGAACTCGCGTGCTAACCGCTCCCCGCCCTCCATTTGCACAGCTAAGAGCACTCAGGTTGCCTCTTGGACACAAAAGTCCTCAGGTCTAGAGGTTACACAAGTGTAACTTGCCTTCTTCTCCACCTCGGTTTCCCATGAGCCTCTCCAGTCGTGCATATAGTAGGTTCTCCGTAGTGAGCAGGGAATGTGGACCTGCGCCACACTCCCAGGGGCTATGTGGCCTGGATGCCGTGCTCAGCTGGTGGAACAAAGGGTCAGTGCCTCATTACCCACCCTCCAGGGACTGCTTCCCGCAGAAGTGGTTCCCTTTCTGGTCAACAGGTATCATGAAATAGATTTAAAAATGGGGGCGGGGTATAGTGGTGCATGCCTGTAATCCCAGCAGTCTGGGAGGCTGAGGTGGGAGGATCACAAGTTCAAATCAAGCCTGGGCAACTCAGTGATTTAGAGAGACTCTGTCTCAAAGTAAAAAAAAAAAATAGAAATGGACAGGGGATGTAGCTCAGTGTGAAGGCTCTGTGTTCAACACCAGTAATAGAGGGGGAAAAAAAATTCCCTGGTCTGGGCTGGGGATGCAGCTCAGTGGTCAAGCCCCTACCTAGCACGGCTGAAGCCCTGACTTCCATCCCCAGCATAGCGAAGACAGATGCTCCCCTGTCTGGAGTCCCTTGGCACCCCTAGCAGGGCAGCTGTCCGGCACGAGCTGCGTCCTGCATTTCTGTGGGTCCTTTGCCAGGTAGGAATGACTCCAAGGGGCACCATTCGGCACCTCCGGGCACTTTGGCTTGCTCAGAATGCTTCTGCCCACCTCGAGCCCTGCATCAGCTTCTTATTACTGGTAATTGATAATAATGAATGTAACATAACGGGTGTGCTGTTCATAAGACCACTTCCTTTGTGCCATGCAGTGTGCCAAGTACCCATGGCATGAGTATTTCGCCAGCTTTTTCCTCACTGCCAAAGAAACCAGCCCCCCCATCCATACATTTATCACATTTCAATGTCTATAAACCTCAGCTTTCCCTCTATGACCCCGGGAATGGAACCCAGGGCCCAGCACATGCCAGACAAGTGCTCCACCACTGAGCTACATCCCAGCCCTTTTTATTTTCATTTATTTACTTATTTATTTTTTTTTATTTTTTGGTACCGGGGATTGAACTTGGGTCCTTGCGCTTGCAAGGCAGGCCACCGAACTGCTGAGCTAAATCCCCGGCCCTCCCAGCGCTTTTTAAATTTTATTGAGACAGGGTCTTGCTAAATTGCTCAGGGTGCTTAAAATGGAGATCCTCCTGTCAGCTTCCTGAGAAGCTGGGATTACGCACATGTATCACTGTGCCTGGCTAGACTGTTTCTTCCTATATTGTGGACCCTGAAGTGACGACTGGCCTGACCTAGAACAACTTGGGTTATGACCGGAAATTTAGTTTTAATGTATGACCAAAGTCTTGATTTACAACCCTGCCAGTGGCTAATCCTTCCAGACGGTCTCAGACACGGATTTAACCCTTAACAAGCTCTGGAAGGAATACTGCCACATCCTTTCCTGGGTGGGGTTCATTCCTGGGCCAGTGTCTCTCTAAAGACACTGAGATCTGCCTGTGTACGGGAGAGACAGAGACTTTGAAGACTGAGTAGAGGACACTGAGCCTTCAGTTGACCAACTTGAGTTACAACCAGCCCTCAAAAATGAATTGAGGGCCGGGGATTTAGTTCAGTGGTGCTGATGCCTGCCTCGCAAGTGCAAGGTCCTGAGTTCCATCCCCAGTACAAAAAAAAAAAAAAAAAAAAATTTACTTTGTAAGTGAAGGGTCCACTGTACATAGCTATGATAAAATTTAATTGTAAAATAGTCACAGTAAAAGGTGAACAATAATAAAATAAAACAGTCCACTAAAGGTGTAGGGAAAGTGGGAAGGGTAGGGGAAAGGTAATAAGGGAAAAGAAAAAAAATATGAGAAAATGAAAAGATGGAAATAAAGTGTTTGTAAAGGGGGAGGGGAAATCCCAATGAAATGTAACTGTACTGTATCCCTAAAATGTACCAATAAACTCAATGAGGAAAAAAACAACAGTCCACAGTGTACTCCAGTAGGAGTTATGTAGACTTATGTGGTGGCACACATCTGTAATCCCAGCACTCCAGAAGGCTGAGGCAGGAAGATCACAAGTTTGAGCCCGGCCTGGGCAACTTAATGCCTTAGCAAGACCCTGTCTCAAAATAAAATATAAGAAAAGGATTGGGGATACAGCTCAGTTTGAAGGCCCTGGGACCATAAAAATAAATGAAAACATAGGTTGAGAACCCTCATCTGAAATACTTGGGACCAGAAGTACTGCGCAGTACTGGTTTTTCTAATTTTGAAACATCCGCATATGCACGATGAGACTTACACTAGATTCATTTACATTTTGCACACACCTCACACTCATGGCCTGCACTTAGCCTGTGGCTGTCACAGGAGGTCAGGTGTGGAATTTTCCACTGGCAACATCACGTGAGGACTCAGAGTTTCTGAATTTAGAGCATTTCAGGTTTCGGAGCATCGGATCAGGGGGCTCAGCCTGGGATTGGAAGGTTCCGCCTGTACCAAGGCCTGGCAAACTGGGCCCTGGCTGCAGCCAGTTGCCCACCGCCAGCTGTCACTGCCACTGCCACACCCACCATAGGGGCCACACAGTGGCTACTTGGAGTCCCGCCGGGCCCTCAGGGCCACTGGGGACCCTTATTTCAGCACCAGGCAGCTCACCTCTGCCTCCAGGAGAAAGCCTGGCCTCCACCCCTGCCCTTGTCCTTCCTTCCTCCCGGTCCCTGTCCCTGTCCTTGCCCAAGCCCCCTCTCCTCTTTCCTGGACCCTCACGCCCACAACCCAGCCTCCACCCTCTTGCTCAGCCCTGAGATTCACCCGAGCGGCTGTCATCTCTGATGACCGGCCCCGAGCCCTCGTGGTCCCCCTGCAGCCCCATCTCTGCTCTCTCTTCCCTTTTATGGCCAAACCCCAAGTCATCTCTGCCCCTCCTTCCTCGCGTCACA